GATTTGAATTAAGGTTTTGAAATTAATCATAAGGATCCTTCCCATAGGAAAATGTAGTTTGGAATTCTTAAAAGAAAACATGATAGAATGGGAATTTGAATGTTGGACACTAGAGGGAACCAGAAGGAACTAAAAATTACAATTAAAGGAGAAGGACACTTAATTTTGATCTACTAACACAGAATGGAGCAAAATACTTTAACATTGGATGTATTGGAGGATATTTGTGACCAATGGATCCAGAAGTTAATCTTAAAAATGTTTGCCATTATAGATAGACTGTTTTTAAAAGATGTTTTGGAAGAGGAACGAGTTCTACTGGATAAGACTGAGATTGATTTGAAAATGGATTTAAAAATGACAGGTTACAAGAATGATATGGAAAAAGAGGCTACACTGGATATACAAATGAAACCGGTTGATGTCTTAATAATTAAAAGGGATATACAAATGGCAAACCAAAAGAATGACTTGGATAACTTTCTTATTGGATTTACAAAAGAGTCCTGTTAAAATTCTGAAGGATTTTGTGAGAAGAGACAAAAATGAAAAGAAAAAAGAAAAGAAGCTCTAGCACATTATTTGAAGGGATTAAAGATAAAGATTGTTAAAAGTAAAAGGAAGGAATACAAAGTGGGTTATTTGATTAAGGTTAAAATCGACATGTTGTTAACTCTGGTAACCCTTAATGGACTTTTGCTGATTAAGATTGAATGACGAGGTTTTTAAGGATCTGTTTATAGATAAGAGATGAGATATGGGACAAAGAGATTGTTGTATTTTAAGAGAAAGTAATAAGTTGTTAAAATTGTTTATACTTGTTGTGACAAAGGGGGAAGTCACTTCTTTATATATTCTTTTCTTTTTCTTTGCTATATTCTTTTTTCTTTCTTTTCTGTTTCTCTTTTTATTTTTTCTGCACTTTCTATTTTTTTCTTTCTTTTATTTTTTGTAGTTTGTATTTGTTTTTATTTGTATAACTGTAATGTCTAATAAAATTAATTTATAAAATTTATAAAATTATTATAAAAACAAAAACAAATCCAAGCATTGCCTAACCAGAAATTAGTGCTCTTCTGCAGAAATGCATCTGCAGAAGGAGGACCTTATCAGTTTTGACTGAGGGTAAGGCCAATTCAGGGGTTCCTTCCATCTTCCTGTAGGAAAATATCTCTTACTATGAGTTTTGGTTTTAATAAATATTCTTATAAGGTTATGGAAAAATACAATACAAATACAATACAAATACAAATCACTGATGTTCTGAAACTATTTCATTTAAATGATATGCCCCTGCCTCCAGTGTGACTTGCTAGTTTGGTTGAATTCTCCTTTATTCTTTTCATAGCAAATTATATTCTAATCCTTAAGAATTCTTAAATTTCAGTCAGCAAAATATTTCTTTCCTGAATGTCATAAGGGCCACAAAAATGAAAGACAAGAAGCAGATGTGTAAAATTCCATGCTTAGAACTTAAATCAGCCACAGATATGAGCTAGCTTCCAGGACACTGATTTTTTTTAAATTTTGTTTTAATAAAAAATAGTTTGTGCCAAATATCCCCCCAAAACTTGCATAGAGCTTCAATCAGTCTTATGAGATTCCCAGCCTCAAAGGTCTGTCTCTGAAAAGGAAAATAAGGTACCTGAATTTTTTCTTTCTTTTTCTTAATAGGCTATATCAATGTGGTGCCATTTAGATGTGTTATTCCAACTTCCATAATTTTTGGCCAGCCTGACCAATGACTATACTGGGTAAGAATGATAGAAATAGAAGTCAAACACATCTGGAAAGCACTAGGCTGGGGGAAATGCAGCTATATTTTGCCCATCCTGCATTGCCAAAATGTGCATTGCACAAGAGATTCAAAGGGATACACTGGTTCAAATTCAAATTAGAAAGAACATGAGCTGATAAATGCTAGTAAAAAGCATATCTGTGCAGAGAATAGCACTTACCAGAAAATTAGTTGGGCGGAGAAAATGAAAGGAACCATGAGCTTTCAGGTTTTGTTCCCCAGGTCCAGGTAAAGAAGCAGAGACCAGAAGCTGCAGCAGAGGTCCTCATTACCTGCCTGGAACTTGACTGCACAGCACAGCCAGAAGGGGAATTTGAGGCACAGCAGTGCAGACTTCTCAAGAGGTCCATCAAAGCAGATCCACTCCTACATTGCCAAGAGGGAGCAAGTGGAAGTGCCCTACATGGAAGGACATTGGAAAGATGTCAGCTACTGAAAGAGACAAATGGAAAAACACTGCAGAAGAGAAGATTAAAGCACATAGAAACCAAATCATAATCATAATCCCCCACAAGGCACTGCCTTGACACATACTAGACAGGTCTCATCAGAAGAGCCAAATGAAGAGTGTCTCTCCTATAAACAATATGGTGAAATGTAACTTACAGAAACCTATACCAGATTGGTCATCACCTGAGTCAACAAGGGTTCTGCTAGTTCCTGGACATCTGGTGACAAGTGGGCTACAGAACTCAGGGCTGTTGGCTTAGCAACCAGAGCCAGCAGCTGCAGGACTACTGGAAGAAAAGTTGCTTACCTGTTGCAAATATACAAAGAGTGAAAACAAAGAAATAATGACCTGCTATTACAAATCAAGCCCAATGAGAAGAGGGTATCTGAAAAGAATGCACCAGTTCTGGAAAGAACAACATCCAGAATCAGACAAAACAGAGGCTAGCAGATCAATGTTGATTTATAATATGAAATAAAGTATTCACAGAAATAGAATCGGAAGAACTGCAAATGTCTACCCAGGGCAAAGAAATCAAAGCCTTGCTAGAAGTAGCTCAGACAGTACAGGCAAACCAGAGGAAATTGGCAGTAGAGGAAGCCAGCATAGCTACTTAATCATTTTCATTCCCAAATCAGGCACCCTCTCCTCTGCCTTCTCCTCAGAAAGAACAAAGTCCTCTAACTGAAAAACAAGAGGAACTGAAACAAAGAATAACTGAGCATCCAGAACAGCAGAAAAACAACAGAATAAGGTTCCTTGCATCAAAGCTTGTTCCAAAAAAACCCTGTCTAGCACTAGTATTAAAAGATGCCAGTACTGTAATATCAAATATAAGCACCAGCTCACTGCAAGAAACA